TCAGATTGTGACATGTGTCACTCAACGAAAAAAATTAATGTCGTTGACAGCCCAGACACTTAAAGTAGTAACATTTGTAATGTTACGCACTAGGATCATTCAAAAAATAATTTATGCACATATTCGTAAAAAATGTTATAATTTGATTACTTATTTTATATTTAAATTTTGAAAAAATATAAATAAAGATTACCGTAAACAATTAAATTTAGAGAAAATCGCCTCAGTGACCAAAAAAAAGTTATAATATACGATTTTAACCAACTTTTTTTGGATTTGCCAAAATGACCAACAAAATCGCAACGCGAAATAAAAATCGCAACGCGATCCCCAGAATCGCAAATCAGTTTCCAAAATCGCAACGCGATTCTTGAAAATCGCAATGCGATAGTACAAATTCGCATTGCAATTTTCCAAAATCGCAACGCGAATATTAAAATCGCAACGCGAACACATAAATCGCAACGCGTATCCGTAAATCGCAACGCGTATGGGTAAATCGCAATGCGTATCCGTATATCGCAACGCGTATCCGTAAATCGCAACGATAATCCGTAAATCGCAACGAGAATCTGTAAATCGCAACGATAATCCGTAAATCGCAACGAGAATCTGTAAATCACAACACTGAAATTTTGGGTATATAACACTGAAATCATAAACTAAATCCCTAAATCGCAACTCATTCCATCTCCATCTATCACTCTCTCCGGCGACATCCGTTCCTATATCCAACGACATCCTTCCCAATCCGGCAACAGGTTTTAGTTTCGCTGCTCGTCTGTTTAGTAAATTAATTTACAACCATGAAATCATCTAATGTTGATCATGTTTGGATAGATTTGTGTTTTGGAGGGTCATGGGATAATGTTCATGGTGTTTTACAATATATGCCTTTACCCATGAATCTTCAACTAAAATTGTCTTTACAAAAGTTAACTTATGAAACTCTAATGCTACGTGTTTCAAATAAATTGAATTTAGAGCCCCTAAGTGGATTTAGGCTATCTTATCAGAGAAATGGTAAAGTTTATTTGTTAACCGACAATGAAGATGTTGAACGATTCATTGCTTACATTAGTGTTTCACAAGATGATGTTACATTGTATGTTGTTGAACCTAGAAGTAGTATTGTTGGGTCAGTAGCGGGTAGTAATCAACTAAGTTTTTCTCAAAACCCACAACCTTTCTCTAATCCAAATCCCAATCAACTTTCAGCACCAAATTCCGGTTTTCGTATTGACCAGTTAGACGATGATGAGCCAACAGAAAAAATTGTGAGTACTAGTCAGTATTCGAAATTTGGTCTTGGTCAATATCCGGACTTTGATATTGGTCAATACACGGATTTTGATGATGTTTCAGAAGAAGAAACATACCATGCGTGTAATGATATTGATATTGGTCAATACCCGAATTTTGATGATGAAACAGCCGTTGCCGAAGAATGTATTGTTGATGATAATGAGGAGGAAGTTACGACTGTGAATGAACATGTTGAACATCCATTCTGTAATTCATATAATCCTGAAGAAGAAAAAGATGAAGAAAAAGTCCCCGAAGAAAAGAAAATGCCACGGGCGTATAACTGGAATATGCCAGAATTACTTCAGATACCGGAAGAAGAGTTGATAAAGAAAGCAGTTGATTGTTACACAAAAGTTATTCGTATCAAGAAAGATGATTGTTTTGATACAAAGGAAGACTTGAAGATAGCTTTATATACGAAATGTGTGGAAGATGGCTATCAACTAAAAGTTAACAAATCAAGCAAAGATCGTTTCGAAACAAGGTGTATGATTGACAAAAACTGTACGTGGTGTATGATTGACAAAGATCTTTTGGTTTCGCGTTGCGATTCTCTCGTTGCGATTTTCATTTCGCGTTGCGATTCTCTCGTTGCGATTTTCATTTCTCTCGTTGCGACAGTCATTCTCTCGTTGCGATTTTCATTTATCTCGTTGCGACTCTTCTGCAAATTGAAACTTGAATGGATTGCATTACTTCAACCAAAAGACAGAACAAAGACAAAGACAAATACTAACTTGAAAATCGCAACGAGAGAATAGCAACGCGAAATGAAAATCGCAACGACAGAATCGTAACGCGAAATGAAATCTAAGTGAAATGGTTAATCTATTATTGAAATGACCAGTAAACTTATCATCAGTTTCAATATGAAAAACCTACAATAATGCAAACATTTCAAAATAAAAATAATTAAAAAAACTAACCCTCGGAGGTTGATTTTCCATTTCTGAATATTGTGAGGGATTTCTGACCGTGAATGGTTGTGAGGGATTTCGCCGGAGATGGGGATGGAAATCTTCGGAGATGGGGACGGATTTCTTCGCCGTAGAGAGTGAGAGATGGAGATGGGACTGAGTTGTGATTTTAGGTTATGAGTTGCGATTACGGGATTTTGTCTTAATATTCGTTTTTGTAATTTGAAAATAAAATACGCGTAGCGATTATAATGGCGCTTTAAATATCGCGTTGCGATTTACGGATACGCGTTGCGATTTTATGTATTATCGTTGCGATTTACGGATACGCGTTGCGATATACGGATACGCATTGCGATTTACCCATACGCGTTGCGATTTACGGATACACGTTGCGATTTACGGATACGCGTTGCGATTTATGTGTTCGCGTTGCGATTTTCATATTCGCGTTGCGATTTTGGAAAATCGCAATACGAATTTGTACTATCGCATTGCGATTTTCAAGAATCGCGTTGCGATTTTGGAAACTGATTTGCGATTCTGGGGATCGCGTTGCGATTTTTATTTCGCGTTGCGATTTTGTTGGTCATTTTGGCAAATCCAAAAAAAGTTGGTTAAAATCGTATATTATAAGGCATTTTTGGTCACTGAGGCGATTTTCTCTTAAATTTATCCTAATTCAAATATAACCGACCAAAAAAATAACGTGAACAGAAGAAAAAAACTATATTATCAATTAAAGCACTGATCATTGGACTGTTGTCTTTTCTTCAGCTACTACCCAGAATTTCATTCCCCTGGTTAGAACCATCAAGTTGTTGCAAAACCGTGCTTGGACTGTTGATTTCGTTTGGACTCCACACGAAGCCAACTTTGCTGCCGATGCCTTGGCAAGGTATACTCCCCGCTCCTCTTTCGTGCTATCTTGCCATGAAGAGCCACCTTTATTTCTGCTTAATTTGCTGCGTAGAGATGTAGAAGGCCCAACTGATTGTTTCGACTAGACGACCTTAGTCTAGTGCTGTTTTCCAATCTCATTCAAAAAAAAAAACATTGATCATTGGAATTGGTAATGAAAATTTTAGGAAATTTACGAAAATAATAAAGCAGGAAATTTAATAAAGAAATATTCAGACAAGTGAGAATCACACAGCTGATATGAGTGTTACAGGTTAGAGCGAGAAGGGATATGCAGCCTAAAGTGAATGGAAAGACGGGGAGTAACGTTGGGAACCTGCCTTAAACCGAACAAGATTCATGCATCCAACAACTAAGCACATTATAAAAATTACACTTTGGTCTTTTTGCACATAAAAAAATGTAATTTTAGCTATACAATATCAGTACAAGTCTATAACACCAAATGGGCTAAAGCATCTAACTGTTCAAGAAACATTCTGATTCTTTTTCTTCAAGGTACAACACTGATCCTTCGGTATAGGTTTTTTGTGTTGTGGGCTTTCATTTAGATGAGTATTTTCTTGGGTTTTTACACTATTATTATTTTGCGCAAAGATGTTTTCTATTGGTATATTTTTGGGTAAACTACACGTTTAATACTAAAACTATTACTTTTATTATGTTTTGGTACTTTAGCTTTATTTTTTTTCCAAAATCACACCTGATATAGTTTATGTTTCATTTCGATACCCGTCGTTAAAAACTTAACGGTGATGTTGATGTTTCATTATAAGGTAATGCCACATAGCCATTGAAAAAATATCACATCAAAAATTCTCTTAAGTTTTTAATGATAAGGTACCAAAATGAAACCTAAACTAAATGTTAGTAGTAGTTTCAAAAAATTAAGTACACAAAAGAAACAAAAGTAATAATTTATATATTAAACATATAATTTATCTTATTTTTGAATCCTTTTCATTTTGTTTCAAAAGCTCTGGCATAAAAAGGAAATAGGGATGAATCGAATGAGGGCGGATGGAGGCATTCATTCCTTAAGAAAATAAATTATACTTTTTTTATATTTTCAATTTATAATTTATTTATAATAAGTTTGTTTTCTCCTAAAATTTTAGACTCTTAATATAAGATCATACATCTATCTCGACTATAATCCTTTTCTCTCGAACGGAGAAAAAAAAACACTAACCTCACATTATTTTCGATATAGCTATTTGTGATCAACTCAAATGAGAAAATTGATATGGGACATGCCATAGGTTAAATTTTACATCGTCTAATATTTACAATGCAAAAACAAATGGTTTAATTAACTACTAATATACTCATTATTACAAAGAAAAACTCATAATATATTATTCATTGTTTTCCTTAATCTTTTTTTCAAAAGGCCGCAATTACCCTTCTTAAATTCTTTAATTACATTGCTTGTTTGTAGAGGTGGCAAACGAGTCATTCAGATAGGGTAATAAAATAAAATTAATTTTTAATAAAATAAAATCTATTGATTATATTATATAAAATTATTATGTTAATAAAATAAAATCTATTGATTATATTATATTCAATATTTTTAAATATCATAAATAATATAAAATTAATATTAAAATATTTAACCCTTAGCTTATCTACAAGGATATTTTTAAAATAAATTAATTTTCCACCCCAGTTTTTTAGAGAAATTAAAATTGGAATTATGACAAGGAAATTTCTTACAAACCCAAAATAAAGTACAAAAGACAAAGCCAGTTGAGAATAGGAAAATAATAACATTGCATCCAATAAAATTTGAATTACTTAACCAGGGTTAGTTTCCAATTCCCATCTCTTTATATACAGCATCAGGACTCATTGATACTACGAAATATAGAGTGGTCACCAAGGAAACGAAGAAGGCGCGCGCGCGCTCTCACTCTCCGGTGGCGGCTTCTTCCGATATTTCCGGTTAGAATTTGTTTTAATTTCCTGACATCATTTCCTGTTTCTTTAACTTATTACAAAGTTCTTTCTTTTTGTTGTCTATATATTAATGTAATGACTAATGAGCTGAGACATTGACAGTTTGGTTGATCGGAAAAAACAAATAAAGAAGATATCGTACGTTTGGTTGATCGGAAAAACAAATAAAGAAGATATCGTATGTTTGGTTGATCGGAAAGACAAATAAAGAAGTAAGTATAGGAAGTGGGGGGTTTTGTTATGTTTTTTAACATTAAAACTTTAAGGTCAACCAAAGTCAATCGGAACCCAAAGACGATTGTTGCTGTTGTTTCACTTACTTTGAAACTGAACAGAAACAAATGATCGTACCCTGTTGCTTATCGGTTTCTGTAAATTTTGATTTTTTTTAACAGATTGTGCGATTGAATTTCAACGGGTCAATTCCACTGGACTTGAGGTATGCTTTCCGGTTTTCCCCCTTTTCTTGGTTAATCGTGTTACTCGGTTTCTTTCTTCCATTTTATTTGTAAAGTATCGAAGTTTAGATCAAACTGGCGAAAAACAGAAAGAATTTGGTCATCTTTTTTTTTTGAATTTAAACAGAAGACCATGGCCACGCCGGTAGATCCTCCGCCAGCGAGTATTAGTTTCAACTGCTCCGACATGGACGAGCTCTTTATCTCTTTAGATAAATTGACTAGTGGATCTCCTCTACCAATCAATGTTATTGATTATGTAAATCCTTACGGACATGACCCACAAAATTTACCTGGTCAGGGCCTTCAACTTATCTGAAGTTCAAACCTTATTTCTTGTATAACCTGGTGATGATGGTCAGTTGTCGGAAAGTTTCTTAAAAGCTTATTGCACTTGCTCGCTACATGCAGAAGCTGTTTGGTTCTTGATTAGCTCAAAGGATAAAATCGATATGGAAAGTGGTGCCTGGAAGACCAAAGAGGAGGCTTGTGAAGTTTTTTCAAACTCAGATATTATTGGTTGGAGAACAACTCTGGAATACTTCGACGGTCAAGTCCCTCATCGGCGTAAAACTGACTGGGTGATGGAGATGTTCAACGTAACTATGAAGAGGCTGCGCGATGACAATGAGAAAAAGGTATATCTTCTAAACTTAAAAGACGATGTTGTTTACATATTTGTTGTATTTCAATTTCAACTGAACCTGCTAGTTTTTAACCAGTTTGGTTGGGTTATATGTAGGAAACTAGCTACTTGTGCCGAGTTAATCTTGTTCCCAGCCACGAGATAGTTGACAATGGAACAGGGAACCATTTCACTTCTTCCCTTGATCTGGATTGTAACAGCAGTACAAGAACCCCTGAGGTATGTCATTATCTGCATCTTTGCATTGCAAGTACTTGTGTGTTTTGGGTTTTCTATTATTAGAACTGTTATGAAAGATCAATGTTAACAATATACCAGTGGGCAAGTAGACATAGGAAATCCAATGGCAATTCATTCACAATCACATGTTGTTTTGCGTGATGTTTAATTTGCGTCTTTGATGTTTTAGCCATTAGTTGCAGGTGAACGACCATGACGCTAAAGAAACATCGGAGAGACTTCCATTTCCCGAGAATCAAGGAGAGAAAGTGTTTGCAATGGACTTATTATCTAGAGGTTATGTTGATTTCTTCGCAGGTGGTGACTATCTGGAACTGAGGGACCTTGATAACCCAACATCACCTCTTTCGAGTTCAGAAAATTCTAGCGCCGCCATTAGCATTTCATCCGATGAATGTTTTGATTCACTAGCTATCTTGAAAGAACTCGAGGAACCGATTTTCGAACAGAATGATTCGGCTAAGAAGCTTAATGTCTTTGCAGCCAACAAGACAGACGAGTTCCTCATGATCCCTGCAACTTTAGGTTTGCGACAAACAATAGGATGTTTATCAAATTCAAAGGGGTATTTTACCCATTGACCTCTTTGATTCTATTTGCAGGATCTTTAGTCAGTATCGAGGGAAGCAACTCATGCAGCGATGATGAATCCTTCAAAACTGCACATATGTCAGCTTCATGTAGTAGAGACCCGAACAACAAGGTCGCAAAACGTGCCAAAGTGGAGCGAACCGACCAAGGTCCATCGTCATCTCGTAAACCATCTGAGAGCCGTACGACAACAAAAGGTGGAATGAAAAACTTTAGAAAGTACTTATGCTTCATGCCATTTTAGATTCTTTCACAGATGTGGGGCAATGTTTCCAAACATTGTAAATTAGTATAATATCACAAGTTAAGACTTTAGTTGGTTAGGTGGAAAAATGAGAGTGAACGAAAATTAAAAATAAAATAAAATTGAACCTATTTAGTGAAAACTCATTTTCCATTTTTATGCATGAAACAAATCATTTTAATTTAAAAGAGATGAGTTATTTTAAAATATATATGTTTTGAAAATTTAATTTAATTTTTCTCATTTAAACTTTATTAACCCTATCTATAAATAATAATAATAATATATATATATATATATTTTATTTTTTGTACTCCTTTAATTTGTAATCCTTTCAATTTTCACTTTACCTACCAAAATCTAATTGTTTAGGTATCTCAATTATTGTAATTTTTTTTAATATTCCAAGGTTTTTGCAAGTTAGTATATGTTCGTAATATATTTTAGCCATTGTCAATTCACACACTTATAAGAACAATTGTTTGAATCCAAAATTTTTAAAAATAATATTTTCTTTAACCAGTATGAGTTGAGATATACCGATATTAGAAGTGCAAGGACATGCCTTTGACCAAATTAATGCAAATTATAAAATGGAATCTCTCAGCTACGAGCGTTCTAAGAAACAATTCCACCTCACCACTGCGCCATCTAATGCCGTATTGCTACATAAAAATGGGTTTAGAGCACTTCCAGAACTAATGAGGCGGGCCTGGTTAAGTAGGTAACTACAAACTCAACAGCCCATTGAAATCCGATTTATCAGTTAGATGATATACTTAGGAGCATTCCGGAGGACCAAAGAGTTTTCATAGGGGGAGACTTCAATGGCCATATAGGAAGTGCAACCGACGGGTATGACGGTGTTCATGGGGGTTTCGGTTATGGTAGCAGGAACGATGGGGGGCGTACGTTGCTTGATTTTGCTACTGCTCACGATTTGGTGATCACTAACTCCTTCTTTAATAAGAGAGATGCGAACTTGATTACGTTTCATAGCGGGGGACATTGTACCCAAATCGACTACATCTTGATTAGAAATCAGGAACGATGGGCTTGCATTGACTGTAAGGTTTTCCCTGAAGAGGCATGTGCATCACAACACAAATTGTTGGTTTTGGTGTATCGCGTACCCCACGGGCGGAGCACTCATAGGAGGGCTAAACTTGGTAAACCTAGGATCCTCTGGAAGAATTTACATGGAGCGACAACTGATGACTTTAGGAGTAAGGTTTTGTCTAATATTAGTTTTGAAACTACAAACTCAAAAAATGCAGATATGTTATGGAAAAATATGGCAAATTCCATCAGAGATGTTGGCAAAAATACCCTTGGGTTGTCGACGGGGAAGGCCAAGGAACATAAAGAATCGTGGTGGTGGAACGACGAAGTCCAAACTAAGGTGAAGACAAAACAAACTTGCTTCAAGGAGTTTCTACAATGCAATGACGACGAAGAAAGGTCGAGAGCTAAACAAAGATACCAGGAGGCAAAGCGGGAAGCCAAGAAAACGGTAGCTAAAGCAAAGGATAAGGCATACGAGGAAATGTACAAGAGATTAGACACCAAGGAAGGACAAAATGGCATCTTCAGACTTGCAAAATCTAGGGAGATTAGGAAAAAGGATCTAGGTAACATTAGGTTTATTAAGGACAACAATGGTGTTCTTTTAGAGAAAGATCACGATATTAAGAGGGTTTGGGGTAGTTACTTCTTTAGCTTATTTAATGACGGTGCCTCTCCATATAGAGATAGTATCGCTGATGGGTTAACCGACTATCATACTACGGCCAATGACTGCCCTACAAGTAGGATTGGGTTTGAGGAAGTCAAAATGGCTCTTAGAAAGATGGGAAGGGACAAAGCTGTCGGTCCTGATCAAATTCCTATCACTGTGTGGTTGGCCCTAGGAGAAGAGGGAGTTAAGTGGTTGACCAACATCTTTAATATTATTCTAGAGACTGCCAAGATGCCAGAGGAGTGGAGAGAGTCTACGGTGATACCAATCTATAAAAATAAAGGAGATCCCCAACGTTGTGGTAACTACAGAGGTATTAAACTCCTCAGCCATACCATGAAGCTATGGGAAAGGGTGATAGAGGCTAGGTTGAGACAAGTTACTAGGGTTTCGGAAAACCAATTTGGCTTTATGCCAGGCAGGTCTACCACGGAGGCGATTCATCTACTTCGACGGCTTATGGAGAAATATAGGGAAAAGTCTAGAGATCTTCACATGGCGTTCATTGACCTTGAGAAGGCTTATGATAGTGTTCCCCGCGATACGATCTGGAAGACTTTGGAAACGAGACGGATCCCAACTGTTTATATCCGGGCGATTCGTGATATGTACTGTAGATCTACTACTTACGTCAGGACTACAGTTGGCGACACCGAGGCATTCCCGGTGGAAATCGGACTCCACCAGGGGTCGGCTCTTAGCCCTTACATCTTCGCCTTGATCATGGACGACATCTATTGTGCGACACCAGACGGTGTACCATGGTGTATGCTTTTCGCTGACGACATTGTCTTAGTTGCTGAAACAAAATCTGAGTTGAATAGTAGACTGGCTACCTGGAAGACTGCTTTGGAAGAAAAAGGTTTAAGGATCAATATTGAAAAGACAGAGTATTTATGTTCAAACTTCAATGAGAACCAAAACGATGAAGATGTAGAAGTATGCATAGAAGGACACGTTCTCCCCTCAAAGGATTGTTTCAAGTACCTAGGGTCTATGATACATAAAGATGGGGGTGTAGATGATGACGTTACACACCGTATAAAGGCGGGATGGCTAAAGTGGAGGGCCGCTACTGGAGTTCTGTGTGACAAGAAGGTCCCTCTAAAACTTAAGGGAAAATTCTATAGAATGGCAATAAGACCAGCGCTGTTGTATGGATCAGAATGTTGGGCAACCAAGAAGGATCACGTAAGGAGGATTGAGGCCGCAGAAATGAGAATGCTTCGATGGACATGTGGTAAGACTATGAGGGATATGACGACAAACTCTGCTATTAGGATGTCCTTGGGGGTGGTGTCTGTTTCCGAAAAATTGAGGGAGGGAAGACTACGGTGGTTTGGGCATGTCCTTAGGCGACTACCGTCGGATGCGGTAAGGAGGGTAGAGTCGATTACAGTCGACGGTGCCAGAAGGAAAGGACGACCAAGGCGAAAGTGGGAAGACTGCTTGAGATCTGATTTGAGGGATTTAGCCCTTACCGAAGACATGACCTCTGATAGGAAAATATGGAGGCTAAAGACTAGGGTAGTGGAGTAGTGTGGGTCACATCTATAGGGTGTATCATATCTGTCTTCTTTTAATGTCTTTGTAGTATTTTCCATGACTTATACTTTTTATACGTTTCTGTTATTGGTATTTATGAAGGATTAGAACTGAGCTTGCTAACGTTGACTTCTGTGTATCATTCTCTTCATGTTTCCTCTTTTAAATTTAGCCGGATCTTATCTTATGTTTATGTCTATATGCAGAGATTCTTTCGCAGGGATAATTATGCAGGGATTAATTCCTGTTACAGACGCACATATGATTTTAATGACTGCATATGAATACTGTTTAGCTATGTATTTATGTATTTATTTATACATGCATTGCATTTTATCTAAATTTTTAATTTTCTGACTGCCGGAGGTCTTCCACGGAAGTTACTCTCAACCTGGCGTTGGGGGTAGCCTACTACCCTACCTCCCCCTTACCCCATACATATGGGAATTGGGTTTTGTTGTTGTTGTTGTTGTAATACTTGCTACTACCAGAGCTTATCATAAATAATCCCAACGAACGCCACCTAACCAACAATAACAAAAACCAGTCCTCGCTTTCACCTAATTTATCCCTACGACACGTCTGCCTAATGCCCTAAGGTCAGCTTTATGCTCAGGTACATGTTAGGGTTTTACTTATATGTATTATTAAAGTTATCGTATTAACCGAATCATTATTTTTCAATGTATTTGAAGCTTTACAAAGTTATTTTTATATTATAATATTTTATAAAATATTTGTTTTAAATTGTCTATTTAATTGTTAATTTCAAAAATAAATTTTACACAACATATTTAAATATATTTTAACTATTAATTTGATTGTTACATTAACAACTAAGGACCAGTTTTACATAACTTTTGAAAAATGATTTTTAAAAGTGATGTAGAAAATAATTTTTAAAAATATTATATTATTAAAGTTATCGTATCAATTTAAACTATAGTAAAAATATAAAAAATACAAATAAAAAAATATAATTATAATAAAAATATATTTTATAATAACTCATTATTAATATTTTAATATATAAACCATGAATTTTATTTACTTTTAAGTAATTAAAATAAAATATTAAGTGATAAATTATATTTTAAGACGTTAATATCAAATTATTAAAATAAGATGTAAATACATAATTAAGTGGAGTCCATGCATTAGTAAGATTAAAATTATAATTTGCTTCCAAATGCAAAGTTAAAAATGAAAAAACTATAAATCATAACTTTTGCAGTTAATTTGAAACCACCGTTTTCACTATAATTTTTTTCTTCATTTTTTATCCTATTTAACATTAATTTTATGGTGAAAACAAGTTTTTTTATATAGCTAAAATTGATTTTAGAAAATCACACCAAATGAAGTTAAGATTAGCTATATTTCAAATATTTATTTTTATTTATTTAATTAAAGTTTATTAGGAAGGAAAGGAATAGGCCTGTAAACGAACCGAACGCACACGAACGAAGGAATGTTCATGTTCGTTCATTTAATAAATAAACGAACATAAACGAACGCGAACATAAACGAACAAAATTTTTTTTGTTCATGCTCGTTTATTAAGGAATATAACTTGTTCATGTTCGTTGATTTAATAAATAAACGAACATAAACGAACACGAACATAAACGAACACGAACATAAATGAACACGAACATAAACGAACATAAACGTTGGAGACCCTACCTTCCATTGTTCTTTCATGAAAAATAGCCGACAATGCAAATCAACCAAATCTACAGTGATAAATAGCGTAAGAGCTTATTAGTAGTGATGAAATGTTTGAAGATATCAAATATTTCGATCGATCTTTTAAAGATATTAAATGATTCACGCGACTTTAATTTAACGCTATAACATTTATCTTAGTGTTCCATGATTACATATGAACAATCATTTTCCGCTATTACACTCTTTTTCAGAAATTGCATAGAAACTTTTGTTTTGTTTTCTGGCAAATTCTATATATTTTTCTTTTTACTGATGCCCATATACTTCCGATTTTTACCTTTATCTTCTCATCTATTTCTAGAAAGAAGTATTATGTTTTCTTGAATTTTAGATGTGAATATACCACAATAACTTTACATATCAACTATTAAGTCAAATAAAACAGAGAAAGAGATGAAAACAGACCTGTAAAACTTCATATTGCACTATAATATAACTTGTTTTGAATCTTTCAGAGATCGTCTCCACTCTCCAGTGAACAATAAGGTTTGGGAAAAAAAAGGGAAAAATGAATATAAGTGCGAGGTGCCTCACAGGTTAACATATTGGATTTAATCTCCAAATAAAATTGGGTTAATTATGGAGTTGGTCATCAGAATATCAGATTAATATTTTTAAGATACTTACAAATTGGTCACCAAAATTGATTTAAGAAGATTGTGTTAAACATAAATGAATGAACATAAACGAACATAATCGAACGAACATAACCAAACGAACATAACCGAACGTTCACGAACGTAAATGAACGAACGATACCTATGTTCATGTTTGTTCATTTAATTAAACGAACAAAAAATCTTGTTCATGTTCGTTTATTTAATAAATAAACGCACATAAACGAACTTCCCGCCGCACGGTTCATGAACGGTTCGTTAAACGTTTAGTTCATTTACAGGCCTAGAAAGGAAGCAGCTATAATATAAGGTGGAGCCCATTTGTCTTTGTCTACTGCCATGTTTCTTATGGGCTCCTTCCATCCCTTTCCCTTTTCTTTTCTTTTCTTTTCCTTTTACACTCATTCTTCTGGGGTTGGCTGTTTCGCCCGCCCATATATGCATTGCATCGTATTCTACAAACTACAAAATATCATCTTTTCATTTTTACTTGTCTTTTACACAACATCTATGTATATATACAGGGCCGTGGCTGGGGAACGCAAACTGCGCGACCGCGCAGGCCTCCCAAAAGATGGGGCCTAAAAAACATATATAGTGGCGTTTTACCAATAAATGTCACTATAGATAGACCTATTGCGACGTTTTTTTAAAAAAAACGCCATTATTATTGCGGCTTTATTGATAAAACGCCATTATAGATGAATTTATTGCGGCGTTTGTCAAGAAAACGCCACTATTATTTCCCCGAAATCGAATATATCTAGAAAATAGAGACCCCTTTATACAAATTTGTACAGGGCCCCCGAAAACCCTGCCACGGCCCTGTATATATACATAATATACTGGATTGAAATGAACCAAGCAACCACGATGATAATAAAATTATTGTTATTTATTGAGGTCTCTAGCTCGAGCACAAAAAATGTTAAGGATATAAGTGTTTAATGTCAAATAGTTGAGAGTTGGTTATCTTTGAACATATATTACATTGTACTTACTAGTGGCGGATGTATGTAGTGTCTAGGGTGGGCACGTGCCCGCCATGAAATCCAAATTTCTTTATATTAATTATTCATTTTACTGAAGGTGACCACCCTGAAATTTTATTTGTACTTGCCCCATATGAATTTTTTTTTGTTATTAATATATATGTGTCCACCCTGAAAAATATTTATAGATACATCACTGATACTTACCTCAAATTAATAAAAAATAATACACTCGATTGAATTAAAATTATTAATTAATCAAATACTATCAATCTAATTAAAAGTATTAAAATATTTTATATAATAATACTAATTAATATTTTATCACATAATTCATAAATTTATTAATAAAAATTATTAAAAAAATCCATTTTTTTCTTTATTTTTAGCCGAGAATGGTTCATCCTAAGTTCCTCTGGAAGTAGGCACCTTCGTCGCTCACTCGATCACCACCGATGCAGACTCCTCTTCCATCACATGTCATCGCTTGAATGGTGATAACTATCTTCCCTGGTCTCAATCAGTTCGTCTATATATCACTGGTCGCCAGAAACAGTAGTATCTCTCGGCAAATATGCCGATTCCAGACCCGTCTGATCCTCAATATGAAACATAGTTAATCGAAAATATAATTATCATGTCCTAGCTCCTCAACTCCATGACAGTAGAAATTGTTAAAAAAATTCTGCTAAATACGACTGCTGCCAAAATATGAACTGCTGCCCATGAAACCTATTCTAATCTTGATAATTTAGTTGCCTTGTTTGGAATCAAATATCATATTAGTGATTTCAAACAAGGCGATATGAGTGTTACACAATACTTTACTCAGTTGTCTCGCCTGTGGCAACAATTAGATCTCTATGAATCCCACGACTGGTACTGCGTTGCGGATGTAAAACTTTTCAAATGGTTGCTCGAGAAACGTCAGATGTTTCAGTTCCTGTCCAGGCTAACAATTATTCTCAATGACGTCTGTGGTAAATTTTTTTGCATTAAACCTCTTCCATCCCTCCGTGAAGTGTTTGCCGAAGTCCATCGTGAAGAAACCCGTCGTTCATTGACGCTTCATTATGCTGTCATTGACAGTTCAACGCTAGTTACTCACTCGACAAGTGATGCTCGTTTAAAGAAAGGTCGTCATTGGTGCGACCACTGTAAGAGAGTCAGCCATGTTCGGGAAAAGTGTTGGAAACTTTATAGTCGTCATGCTGACTGAAAACCTTCCAAATCATCCTCCCAGCGTGATTCTCACGGGAATATTGTAGTAATCAACACTGGTAGCAGTTCGTTTAATTGTCATCAGCTGAAAGAACTCAAGGAAATCTTCGATCAAATCCAGTCCTCTTCTGAGTCGAAACATACATGTGTTGTGAATGAAGGTAGATCTAACTTTGTTCAATTCTCTAAGGGTTGTATTTCTTGGATTGTTGATTCAGGAGAAAGTGACCACATGACTGGTGATTTCATCCTCTTTAAAAATTTTACAAAGACAAATTCTTCATGTAGTATTCGAACAATCGATGGTTCACTTTCTTCTATTATAGGTAGTGGCTCAATTCAGATTAACAACCATACCACTTTATCTAATGTTCTTTATGTCCCAAATTTGGTTTGCAATCTACTTTCGGTCAGTAAATTATCTACAGATTTGGGTTGTGCTTCCCAATTTAACTATGATATTTGTGAATTTCAGGATTTGAGCTCGGGGACGGTGATTGGCAATGTTAATCGTGGTGGTGGTTTATACATACTTGAAATAACTTCTTTGGTTCACAAAACAACACCCTCCACTACTGTGTCCTCATATGTTTTCATATCTCCATATCTCAGTGATATGTTTACTGAAATTGTTTTATGGCATTTTAGGTTAGGTCATCCGAGTTTTAGTTATCTTGTAAAATTGTTTCCCAAATTATTCGTTAATAAAAACCCTTCATATTTTTCTTATGATACATGTCATATTGCTAAACACATTCTCAATACGTATTCTCTTTCTACTTGTCATTCTTCCAAATCGTTTTACGTGGTACATAGTGATATTTGGGCTTTATCTCGTGTTAAAGGCTTATATGGGGTTCATCGGTTCATCTCTTTTATTGATGATAACTCTCGTACCACATGGACTTTTCTCATGAAGGATAAATTCGAGGTTGAGGGAATTTTCAAACGGTTCTATTAAATGATTAAAACCCAATTTCAAAGCTTTATCGGTATTCTCAAATCTGATAATAGTATTGAATATTTCTTTAACTTGTTAGGGTTTTTATTTCAGGAAAAATGAATTGTCTATCTCGCTTCTTATGTCGATACACCACAACAAAATGGGGTATCTGAACGTAAAAATTGTCATCTTCTTGAGGTAATTCGAGCTCTTCTCTTTTCAAACAATGTTCCTAAGTACCTTTGGGGTGAGGCTCTCTTAACCGCAACATATCTTATTAATCACATGCCTAGTGAAGCCCTTAAATTTCAAAGTCCCAGGATGTGCTTTCTTAATTTTTCCCTCATTTTAAACCATTCACTATTATTATTCCTCTTCGTGTCTTTAGCTGTACAATTTTTGTTCATGTTCATTCCCCAACTAAGTTTAAACTTGATCCTCGTGCAATTCATTGTGTCTTTGTTGGGTACTCTTCTCTACAAAAGTGTCATCGGTGTTATTCTCATTCTACCAAGAAAATGTTCACTTCGATGAATGTTACCTTTCTTGAACATAAACCTTTCTTCTCTAAAACTGAAATCCAATGGAAGGGTGAGTGTGAATTTCAACTTTTTCCAATTCATACAGAGTTACCCATCAAATTATCTCCCACTGAACCTATAGAACCTCAACCATCTCCTGAAACAATCATTCAAACACCACCTAATACCGAAACCTCACACTAAATCGATTCACCTAAAACTCCTAATCCACCATTGTCTCCATTTGCTCCCCAAACTGGTATTCGTACCTACAAAAAGTGATCAAAATTCACCTCACACATTACCACACCATCGATGCGTTGTCAAGAGCCAGATCCAGGCTCAGATTCCTTGGAAAGAAAAGAAGGTGATCAGAGTAAGTTAGATGTTTTTGTTGATGCTAGTGAGCTGCTCATTGCTAAAAGAAAGGGAGTAAGAAAGTGTACAACTCATCCTATCAATAAATTTGTTTCTTATGGTAAACTAATGTATGGGTTTAAGTCATTTACAACCAAACTTGATAGTATCCGCATTCCAGAGACCATAGGAGAAGATCTAAAAATTCCCGAATAGAAGAAGGCAATAGAAGAAGAACTTTCAACTCTTGAAAACAATAAAACATGGACTATTTGTGATCTTCCTAAAGAAAAAAAAGCAATTGGTTGCAAATGGGTCTTTACAGTCAAATACAAGGCAAATGACAACATTGAACGGTATAAGGCTAAACTTGTGGCAAATGGGTTTACTCAAACTCAGGGAGTAGACTATCAAGAAACTTTTGCTCTAGTTGCAAAACTCAGCACTGTAAGAGTACTTCTATCCTTAGAAGGTAATATGGATTGGACACTTCATCAAATTGATGTAAAAAATGCATTCCTCAATGACAATCTTGAAGAGGAGGTTTGTATGCAAACTCCACCGGATGTGCAGATGAAATAAAAAAATCAGCAGGTATGCAAGTTGTTGAAGCCATTATATGGACTAAAACAATTCCCTCGTGCCTGGTTCTATAGATTCATATAGGTATTCTTACAAGACACCCATAAGCGATGTCAACCTAATCATACTCTATTTGTGAAGATCGGTTCAAACAATAAACGGACAATCTTAATTGTCTACATTGATGACATCATCATCACTGGTGATGACTTTAGAGAAATCAAAAATTTGAAGACATTGCTAGCAAGATAATTTGAAATCAAAGACTTAGGGACCTTGAGGTATTTTTTGGGCATGGAAGTGACAAGATCAAAAAAAGGGATTGTCATAAATCAAAGAAAGTATATTCTGGACTTACTCTCTGAAACTGGATTTACAGATTGCAAGCCTTCGGAAACTCCCATGGAAGAAATCTGGAGTTAAAGGAAAATGAAAGTCTAGTAAACAAATAACAATATCAAAGGTTAGTGGGCAAACTCATCTACTTGTCATTTACTAGACAAGACATATCATTCTGTATGAGTATTGCGAGTCAGTGCATGAATGATCCTAGAGAAGAATATTTGGAAGCAATATATCGTATTTTAAGGTATTTAAAGATAACATCAGTCATGGGTTAATTTTCAAAAAACATGAAGATAGAACAATCAAGATCTTCTCATATTCAAGTTGGGTTGAAGAGTTAACATATAGGAGATTAAGAACCGATTATTTTTCATTTGTTTGGGGAAATTTGGTGACTTGGAGAAGCAAGAAACATGTCGTAGTTTCCACAAGTAGTGCAAAAGAAGAATATCGAGCAATGACACTTGGAATTTGTGAAGGGATTTGGTTACAACGACTCTTAATTGAGCTAGGAGTTAGTGACAAAACCCACTTTGAACTTCAAAGTGATAGCAAGTCGACTATAAGCATTGCGAAAAATCCGTTACAACATGACAAAACTAAGCATGTGGAGATCGACAGACACTTCATTGCAGAAAAGGTGAATGGTGGAATCGTAAGACTCAACTATGTCTCTTCAAAAGATCAGCTAGCCAATATTTTGACCAAGACACTTCCAAGAATCAATTTCGACGAGATTACATCCAAGCTGAGTCTTTACAACATTTATTCCCCAGCTTGAGTAGGAGTGTGAGTTATGATTAGATGTAAATATTAGTTTTCTACTTTAAAACTAACTCTAGAATACTAATTTGTAGATAATATAATCCCTAGTCCATCTTAAACTCTTTACAAATACTTGTATTAAAACTCTCCTGTAAAACTCTGATTGTAACGTGAAATAGAAAAATAATTTTTCTTAGAAATTTCATTCTACAGTTTCATTCAACGAATAACAATCTTCAACATGGGATTAGTAATTTGAGTCTAAATTCTCCTATTTCATGTACTTTTTGTTCGTATTTTTTTTTTTTCAAATGATACTGAGCTGCTAGGGTCTTGTGTAAAACCTTTGTTATCTTGGAAGCAGATTGCCATAACCCTTGATGGCTTTTGATCTACACGGCATTAAGGCTTAATGATGTGATTAACTATTCTTATACCTAATTCATTTGAAATTGTGATTTCGGACAATTTTATCTGGCGGGAAGTAGTAGAGATTGGTGCATAGGATCCATTGTGTCTTAAGCCTTTAACTTTCACTAGTTTTAATAGATCCATTGTTTCATTTTCCGTATGTTTTTATTGGTCCCACAACACTTGTTTATCAGTATACTGCTTGTTTCAACTTGTGATTTCCAGCTTCCGATGACACTCAAAAGTCCCTCAGATCAAGGCATAGAACGCACAAATTATCCGGATCTTGTCACAAGAGAGTGGGCAGGTCTCCTTCTTGTGACTCGCAGTCTAAGGCCATCTCCAGCGCATCGTTGGAGTGGTATTCATCTCCACTTTTGGAGATAATCCTATGCTCCAGTCCATCGCCATTGTTATGTTGGATTGTGGCGTCGGGCTACAGTGCACACTACAACTGGCGTTGTATTGTAGCTGCACTACATTTTTTTTCTTCTGATTTTTTGTTTTTTTTTTCTGATTTGAATGTTGAGGATTTTTTTCTGATTTTTTGTTTTTTTTTATTACATGTAGAGATAGTGCTAGAGATGAATTATTGTTTCATCTTTAGAGTAGATATAGAGATGCTGTAGAGTAGAGATGAGAGCTGGAGATGACCTAAGGGGTCTGTTTCTGTACCCTGTGGGTCCATGGTAATTAAATTCATGAAGTTGTATTTTCATTTTATACAGTTTTTTGTTTTGATGTATTGCCCGTTATAACGTACTGCAAAATGATGTTAGCCCCCGAATTGGAGTTTATATTTACACTATATTTTCCCTGTAGAAAATTGACCTCAGCAAACTAGAGATGGCTGCTTTATGGAGATATTGGCGCTACTTCAATCTTGTAAGTTTTTCATGGAGAAAGATGTAATTATAATTATCAACCCTGCCTGTAGCACATCAACAGTAGACGAAATAAATAGTTCAAATGCCATTGCTTGATGTTGCCAGGTAGATGCCATTCCCAACCCATCAAAAGAGCAACTGGTTGATGTCGTTCAGAGACATTTCATGTCGCAGGTAACTTATTCAACTGCTCTCACAGCTTCACCCTCTTTGATTTTCCTTTGAATTCTTTCATTCTACCATGTAAGTGATTGTATTATCTCCCAGAGCTGTGAAATTAGCAACTTTAATGTGATTTATAGCTACCAACATTCTTTAAAGCTTGAAATGATTTGACATTTTCCGATTACTGAATCAAAATGTCATCTGTTGACGCAGAAAATAGATGAGCTGCAGGTAATTGTGGGATTCGTTCACGCATCCAAGAGACTGAAGACTGTTTGTAAATGACCTGGAGGAGATTGATCTGATTCAGTTGCCCCTAAGTTTGGCTGTCAAAAAAAAGCTGCTAACAGAAACTAGGGGATCCTAACGTTCTCTTCCCGCTTTAGTGATATCTGTAACATATATATGTATCTGTGACCTGTTAAGCATTTATGGTATCTCTGTCAAGTAGGCTTTAGTAATTTGACTATGTTATAGGGGTGGTTCCATCTTGCTAGACAAGTTTATGTAGATATTAAATCCAAAACTTAGTTATAAGAACTCATTGCAGGCTTCCTTTTTAAAGCTTGGTTGAATCTTCTATGTACTACTAATCTTGGGTATGTGGATTTCTTGAAATAAATGTATATATTTTTGTTTCTTTCCTTTGTCTACCTCATTTGAGTATTTTATGTTCAAATCGGTATGGGGCAAAGCATGGTTCACTTTTGCGGGCAAAAGGTGGAAGTAAATGGCCCAAAAAGTTGGTCTGCAAAACATATAATGATGTTATAGAATAACGTAGTCGAATTAATAATGACGAACTTTGGGTAAAAAACATCATATTAAAAAGCTTATACACATGCGGACTCCATTACAACCGACTAACCGAGCCTAACTTAAAACTATACAATTAAACAATTAGAGCCCATCCATTGAATATTACCCTTATTTATAATTATCAATAATTATCTTTCAAAAAAATCAATATTTAATTTATTGATCCATTAGCAATGATATATTAAGACTTTTTTTATTGTTGTTACGGCAATAAACAAACAAAGATTGAACACAAACTTTTGTTTATGTTCATTTGTTTGTTTTGAAGTATTTTCGTGTTTGATGTGAATTTGAGACATTATTTATGTTAACAAAATTCTAATAAAGTTAGATGATCAATGATTCACCCCTTTTAATTTGAGCGAAGGGTCGTGCCGCTTTAACTCATGTTTTCAAGCATTAAACATCTCTGCAGAGCTTTTAAAATATCAATATGTTCTATGGGGCCTAAACTTATATAAATCGTTTATTTTATTGACTTTTGTCTAACATCTTGAAACCTTGAATCAATATTTTTTCGATTCCAGTTGTTAAAAAGTAATTTTTGATGATTTATTTTTAAATTTTGATCTTTTTAAATTTGTGTCTGTTTAACTGAATAAATTTAGTTAGATTAAAATATAATTCGGTTGAGAACTCAATTGAAGATCAAAATTTGATAATTGAAAGTTTAAAGACTAAATTAAAATGAATGAAATATCAAAATTTGCATGTATTAATAAATCAAAAGAAAGTTTAGGCCTCAGATACTAATTACTCCAAATCAAGGTGTTAGTGGAACTTTTCACCAACTTCCACTAAAGCCTAATTTGTTATATTAGCGAAATAATATTTAGATTTAATTAGTCATCATCTTCATATTTTAGTTAGAATTTAAGAGTGAGAGTACATTTGATCGGTTGATCAAGTTACTTATCTTTGTTTTTTTATATTTTTTTAGGTCATATTTTCTAGATGCATTAAAAATACTCTCCTTCAATCCCCTTCTCAGCCCATCTATATAGGATTAGAATTAAAATTAAAATTTATCAAAAAGAAGTTAGACTTTAAGAATTTTTATGGATTTATCTTTTAGATTCTAATGAGAAAAAACCTCCATAAATTGAGAATTTTAGCGTGTGTGAGAATATTGAATTTAGATTTAATATCGTTGAGGTTGGGAGGAAGACGAGAAATGGTGAGAGCTCCAATATAGTCTCACGTGATTAAATGATGTCAAACAAGTTATACTAATGTGTCACACTAATATTTTGTCACTTCAAAAACAATTGCTAGAGATCGAATGATTAATTTGTTACAAATCGATAATATTAATGATCAAATTTTTATTTTTAAAAAATCAGTTAAAAATAAAAATTTATTCAAATATTAATGATTATTTATGTAGTTTATCATATATTTTATTTACAGTTTTAATCACTTAAATAGCTTTCCAATAAAGCGTTAGAAAGAAACCAATTATGTGAAAAATGTGCGTCTCTTTGCCTTTTGTTTCAAGTCGACAAAAAATTCAGAACCACGTCATCACCTTGTGTCCAAACATCTCCAAAATTGTGGACAATCAGCTAGCACTGGAAAAGAGTCTTGTTTATTTTAAATTGAAAGTGTCAGCAGATGGCTGAAACTTTTATATAATATTTAATTAAAAATTAGCTTTTAAATTAATAGATAATACATATTTAAGCATATTAAAATTTATATTTTTTAAACGTTATAATAATGATTATGTTAATTAATTAAGATTTAATCATTAAATTTTGCCAATATATCATATATAAATTATTAAATTGATATTTTTATTAACTTTATATTTTACATATAAACGATTAAATTACTGCTAGAACCAAGAAAAACAAGGGTTCTGAAGGATGTGTAGGGTAATAGGTTTGAGTCTTTTGATTCAATGGCTTCCGAGTTCGTGGTTTTCTTTACTAAGCAGATTGGTACTACAGATGCAAGTGTTCAAGGCTGTGACAAAGGGCTTTTATGTGAGTTGCTTCATTATTCTTTACCCGAAAGTGCTGCTGAATCCTTTGGTCAGAGAGGTCTCAACTGATGAAGTTAAAGCATCTGTTTTCTGTCAGGGCAATTATAAGGCTCTAAGGCCTAATGGCTACACCTCTTATTTCTTCAAGAGGGCATGGCCCATTGTGGGTAATGATTCTATAGCAGTTGTTAGGCAAATTTTGCGGACCTATTACTTTCTTTCAATGCTACAACTGTTGCACTTGTTCCTAAGATTCTGAACCATAGCATGGGGAAGGACTTCAGGCCTATCTTATGTTGTTCAGTAGCATATAAGACCATTACCAAAATCTTGGTGGAAAGGTTATCTGGTCTTCTTCCTGGTATGGTTTCCCTGAATCAAACAACTTTCATTAAGGGTCGTAGCATTTTTGACAATACTATGCTTGCCCAAAAGTTGGTGAAAGGTTATGGAAGTTGATTTCCCCAAGATGCGCCGTTAAAATTGATTTACAAAAGGCTTTTGATTTCATTCATTGGGGGTTCATTCTAGCTGTTTTGGATGTTTCACTACTACTGGGTATTCTCTCTCTCTCAAATGGAAGTCTGGTTGGTTTTTTCAAAGGTGCTAGAGGTATTAGGTAGGGGAACCCCTTTCCACTTTGTTTTGTCTATGAATGTGCTTTCTAGTTTATTAAATTTGGCTGCTGCTAGGGTGTTATTTGGTTATCATCCTAGGTGTAAAAAAGTTGGGCTTACTCATTTGTCATTTGCTGATGATTTACTCATTTTCTGTAAAGGGTCGGTTGAGTCTATTCTTGGTGTGAATTGTGTGTTGGATTGTTTTTATGAGATGTTTGGTCTTAGATTTGATTCCGTTAAGTGTGATTTGTTTGTGGCTGGGGTGTCTAGTAGTAAAGTTGAGGAAATTGAACAGATCACTAGTTTCAAGAGTGGGAGTTTGCCTGGGAGGTATCTGGATATTCCTTTGGTCACAAGGAAACTTTCGAAAAAGGATTGTGTTGTGCTTGTGAAGAAAGTTAAATCCAAAATATGTCATTGGTGTGGTAGACACTTAAGCTATGCTGTAGGCTTGAACTGATAAGGGTTGTCTTGTTTAGTATAGCAAACTATTGGTGCGGGCAATTGGTTTTGCCACAGTCTATCATTAAGCGTGTGGAGCAACTTTGCTCTCAATTCCTTTGAAAGGGATCTGATACTGATGCTACTAGACTCAACCGAGGATGGGCTTGGTGTCAGGGATTTAAAAACTTAGAATAGGGTATGCATGTTGCATCTGATAAGGAGTATCTTTGCTGGTGAGGGGTCCCTCTAGGTTGCTTGGTTGAGGAGTTGCATTTTAAAGGAAGTTGATTTTTGGCAGATTGGAGTTCATGTGAGAATGCTAGTTGAAGTTTTAGAAGGCTCCTTAAGCTGAGACCGGTGGCTTGTCCCATTCGCTCTACTGCTGCTAGAGATAGTACGGTGACATTTGGGAGAGGTTGCGTATAAGAGGTACAAAGGTTTCATGGTAGATATTGATTTGGTTCTCTCCATGTCCCAAAGCATAGCATCATCGCGTGGATGGCTAGTTTGGACAGACTCCCTACTCGGGATAGACTTATGTGGATGTGATTAAATGTTGATAGTTGTTGTATGGTTTGTGGTGAGCCTTTTGTCATACCCCAAAATAGGAGTTAAATTTTTAATTAGTTTTATTTGATTCATAATTAGAATTAAAATAGAACTTCACAAGTTATTATATGGAAATGGCAAGGAGATAAGGGACTGGTTGGTTGATTTAACTATGTTTCCCTCAAACTCAAAACTTCTCCCCTTCTCCGTGAAACTCTTGATGTGTCATTTTCCCTTGAATTAACAACTAATTCAAGAGGGTTAAATGGGAATCAAAGCTTTGCCTAAAGGGAATTCGGAGGGTTATTATATTATTAAGAAAAATAATTTAGAAACTATTTCCTTTCAAAACAGAAAGAAAATCATAGAGTGCAAATAATATTTCTTCGAGTTCTATTGTCAGTATCGACGTCGTTCTTATCTACTATTCGTGTTGTCACCCTTGCCATTGTTTGAATGTTTTCGTCGCATCGATTAGGGACTTGCCGGAGAGGGAAAGTGCACGCATTCTTGTTTAGGTGAGTTCACAATTTTATTTATTTATTTCATTATTTCGTTTCATTATACTAAACGTTGGTTGGGAAGGAGTGTCTTCACTCGATCGCGATTCAGCCATGCCGCCAATGGACTGATAGATTACGTCCAAACAATAATAATAATAATAATAATAATAATAATAATGATAATGATGATAAAACAGATTAGATGAGTTCGGTGTACTGAACATTTGAATTGCAAATGGTGCGTTGATCATGAATTGCAAATGGTTGCAATTCGCGCGCGCGTATATACACACACACAAGGGATGGTTAAATAATATTCATCGGTTAGGATTTATTAAATCATGGATATTTTGATACAGAAAGCGGATATGAATCACCTTGACGTCAATCAAATTACGTTGTACCCAATTTCTCGTCGGGACGTGAAAAGAGTGTTGCTCCTTAAATAAGTGGATTTCAGATTTTCTAGGTGTATGTCTTTTCCCCATCGACATATAAATACTATCAATTTACGTTAATAGGATATTAGTGTGTAAGTGTCTTTTCCCTATCTTAGAGTTAAATTAATTATTCGTATATTCGTAAGTCCACATAGTTTAATACGAGCACATTCTCTCATGTTAGCATTTCATAAATTTTTAAAATTAATCATTGTTATGTTTGGCGATTGTGTGAAAAATGTGAAACATGATTAAATTATTTCTATGTTCGTAGAAG